AGAGGAAGACATTCGATACCACGAGGAGAGGAGGATACAAAGAGGCGAGACCTCCCTCCTTAGCCCATGATGGATAATTGGGGTTCTTTTGCCATAAGCGACATATTCAGAGTTCTTGAGCTACTTTTACAAATCAAAAAAAACGTTGAAAACTTATCTCTTCTCTTCCACTAGCGGGGCGATAGCGGATTGTGATTCGCTGAACACGACTTGGTAGGGCCGATTGATACATGATATCGGAAACGGGACGTACAGCTGCGCCTCGTCTCCCAACACACGCGATGTTGAAGGGTCTCGGACATACCGGGCTGGTCATCGTTGTTGGCCCCCCGGCCGATCGGCGGAATCAAACGGGGTCCCGGGCCCCCGCGAAGGCAAAATCGCACCCGGACGTATGCAACTTGCTGACACTCGGACCCACGCAAGGCACTGCCTCGGCCCCGGGACTTCCATCACCTCGGCGCCGCTAGTCAACTGTCCCGCCTTTTCGTCCTTGTGTGTACATTCTGATGCCAAGGACCGGTAGCTGCACTAGGGCGTGCGTGGTGAGGACGAAGGGCACGGCCGGCCATGACATCGCGCTGGGGGTCTTTTGGATACGGCTTGCGTGTGCGTGTTGCGAGAGTTGGTTCGTTTGAAGTGACAGTTGCAGAGCATGTGGTTGTACTTTGTACGCAAGGCTCAGTCGACGGGCACTCTGGAGAGGTCGTCTCTGAGGGATGGGCATGTTCGTCATCAAAAGATGGGGAGGACGCGGTCTCCAGCAAGGAAGAGGCTCATGGCTTCCTTGACCTCCCTGGCTGCCTTGGTTTCCCAGAATTCAGAAAGGGATCGATTATCAAGCACCTGCCTCGGCATGAGCTTCCCTTCCATCTGGGTCGGCAGTATCGCGCGTGGGAACGTTCGATAGAGCTCAGCCAGCGGATCTCCAACGCCCCGATATCGAGGAATGTCAGGTTCTCAATAACATCGTCATCTGGGCAGTGCTACGTGTTGACAGTATTTTTATGAATCATCATCACTGGGGTGGCAGTTGGTTTGCAATTAGGGTATCAGCGGAAGCGGCCGAATGAGCTACAGTAGTCACTCGGGGCTGTCTAATCCATTACGAACGCATTGCCGGCACATCGTTGTGATGCTTGTTGCATCCGTGGCTGTGCCAACGACGACGACAAATCAAGAAAGATGCCAGGAGACGACACACAAACGACAGTGGTCCACTCGGACGAGCAGAGTTGCATGCTGCGGTGACATGAACCCAACACTGGCAGTATTGGATCAAATATCACAACCGAGATCAGAGCCGAGATCAAGAAAATTTACGAACCCGCGCGGCCAGACCCATCAACGGCCTCAGCTGCGCATGGGTTTCTCTCTGCAACCGTGCCCATCCGGCATGCGGTTTCCACGCAAGGTCGTCGAACAGGAAGCAGCCGCCGATTCAGGACCTGCATGAGTTGAGCATGCCAACTTGCCAACGACTCCCCCCATCCAACGCCCTCACCAATCAACAAACAACTCTTCAACCAACCACAGGTCTTCCGATAACGAGGTGTACCCCTCTAACAATTCCTTTACGACAGTGAAGTTGGTTGGCCACTCAGCGCCCCCTCATAGTCGTTTCTCGTTGGCCTTCCTATGGCACAGCCTCAGCGAGCTGCATGACCTGCGCAAAATGGTGTGCCACCACAGCTTAGAAAGCAAGAAGCAGGACGTCGTCATCTCGCTCTGGGTGTGTGGGCATCCCCTTGGGGGCTAGCTTCAACATAGGAGACTTGGCATGTCATCAGGACTTCTTATGTCCGAGACATGGCAAGAGAGAAAAGCCGCTTTCCCTTTCTTCTGGCAATCTGCTGCTGCGGTGAAGTCGGGAGGAATGCGGCTCATAGCCCGACCGATTGGCAGCCACTCACAACGGCGGCTGGGCGGCTGCAGCCTGTGCGAGCCAAGATGGCGAAGCGAATCGGTGATGCTGGCGTCGGTGTTGGTACCTTCATCTCTGTGTGAGCTGCTTTGAACTTCGTTACACGCGGTAATCTCAGCCTCAAACATCAGCCCCTGTGAGGCTGGTGTGATGTAGCACAATGTCCAAGATGTGAATCCGTGTTGTGTTGGTCTGTTTGAAGGATTGGCTTGAATTCGGCTGTCATCGTCGCATGCATGGTCCCCAAGCAACCGATGTCGAGACGACATTGATCGACTAGGCCAGAGGCCGCGTCGGAGCTTTCGGATGGTAAATCCACGTTCCTCGTTTGCACTTGCCCGCCCTGTACGTCGTTCAGATGATGACAGCCGTACTCATGGAGCAGTGAACATCTCAACCAAGTTTAAGCCAAGTAAGCTTGGCAATAAGGATTCGGCAGTGCCGTTCCGCCGGAAGCAATTTGGCAGCCGATGCGGGGGTCGATGGAGACCAGCACGTTCCGGGAGGCCTCTAGATAGCTGCAATCTCGGCCAATCGTCAGTTTTTGTTCATTATCCAGCGTGCCTCTCATGCGTGAACAAAGCCACCGAGGGATGGGCCGTACGCGCAATGCAAAAGCAGGATATCTTGTTCGATAGCCCACACTTGCATGGCGAAATGTGCCGGCGTCGGATGTGGCAGTTGTCTTAAACCCGAAAAGAGGGCTGTGAAAGCGGGGGAAAGAAGTCTTTTTTGCTTTTCTTCTTTCCGCTGACTCCAGAATCCAGACCGTCTGATGTATCGCGTCGAACCGGTCGCACAAAAACTTGGTTAATTGGTTCGGTCGGTGCCGGCACTTTGAGTTTGTTTGTGACCCCTGTCCCGCGAGCACGGGAGTCTGTTGTTAACTCAGTTTTTGAGAACCGGGGCCCTTGGATCTAGGGGTTCTCCAACAGTTGCAATCTGCTGTGCATCAGTATTTCGACAGATGTTTCAGAGGGAGGCGACGTTGCTTCCAGCCAATGGCGTTTTGTTTGGTGATGATCAGAGACATGATGGACAATCGATAACGAACTGGCACTAAGAGCCAAGACATTGACACTGGGTAAAAGAATCGGTGACATCAAAGCCGAGTTGGGACTAGCGGCCGCTCCCAGTGCTCGTCAGAGACTTCTAGCCAAGCCTGCTCAGCCCCGAGGCCAGGCTGGGTTGCAGAGGGGAGACGTAAGCTCATAAGCTTACCTTGAGACTCACAAGACCGTCCACTCCGACACGGCGGGGGCTAGTGTCATGGGCGTCTGCGACGTGAAGACCAACAACAAGGCAAGTGATGTTTGGCGTGGCATTGGCAGTCGAAGGTCCACCGAAAAGGTGCAGAGTAGAGAATGTCGGCCTAGACCCGGCTTGGTGGAAGCGTTCGATTTGATACTTAAGCATCAAGGTGCGTGGCCCTCGCGTCGGCTGTGATGGTTGGCATCGAGCAGGTTTAGAAAGATCTCATCGTTCTTACCCACCATTTCATCCCACAACACGTTGCTCCCCAGTCATCACATTCAATTTGTCGTGACCGTTCCAACGAACACCGAGCTGAGCGAATAATCATTGGCTCGAAGCACCAACAGCGACTCAAACAGCGTGCCATTGGCTCTGAAACGCGAGGGACGGAGAGGCGTTGTCCTGACAGTGCAGAGGTCGCAAGTCGGTCAAGGGTGGTGAAGGTACGTATCCGACGATATCAAAGCCGCTAAGAATAGACGGTCGGGATCTGTTAGTAGCTGACATGCGTATCCCGCACTGCAGCATTTCCCCTTTGCTGTCATCCCATCAATCCCTCCCACATCCCCTCCCCAATTATCGGCTCGGTTGCCCTTCTGGGTGCTGCTTTGGAGGTTGACTGTAACGGCCTTCACCCGTGTGGTTCAGCTCAGACGGGGACGGTATCAGATTCTGGGAGAGAGATCTTGGCCAGTTGCCAGGATTCCCTCGTCGAAGATTGGTGAGGTGAGTTCGAACGAGTTTATTTCTTGCATCTGCATATTATTCTGCAGCTGTTGTGGTCTTGAGACGAACCGCCATGGCTGTGGATGGCGAACGTCAGGCCATAATACTGCAATAATGGCGGTGTTGCGTCGTGGTCGGACCCGTGAGGCTTGCGGCTCTGGCGGCGACAGACGGTGACGGCGACACCTCTCTGAGAGACTGAGAGACGGCAGTTGCCTTCGCAGTCTCTCCTGGGCAAAGTTAGAGCATCGCGAGCCGACGGCGGCGTGAGCGCGAGTGTTCTCGCGTGCGTGTGTGCCACGAGTGCGAGCAGCGGTAGCGTCAGTCCGGGTGCTTGGGGGATCGACCGGGTCGAAAAATTAAAACTGGAAAGCACTATGTTCGTGTCAATGTACCAGCTAACAGCAGCAGTGAAACAGGGAGAAGGCAGGCTTCCACTGCCCGGGTCGCCTTAGGTAAGGTCCCTGAGTGGGAACCCAGCCAGGCCTCATTTGGCGCTAGCGCGGTCCTTGTGTCCCAAGCTCGGAAGGGGTACCTCTGTCTTGGTGCTTGCCACTGCCGTGCTGCGCGGTACACTAAGCCAAGAGTGACCAAGTCGCCCAGCCGCCTCTGGAATCCACCGCACCTGGGCGCTCCAATACAGTTGGTCCACGCCCCCGTACCAAGAGATCGTGTTGCGCAATCCACTGGCCCCGTCCAGCGACACCGACCGACCGACGCCCCCCCGAGAATCCCATAGCCTTCCTTCCTCCTGGTTGCCAGTCTCGCCTGTCTGCTGACTGCTGCTGAGTGAGGTCTGCTGCTGCTGCTCCTCCTTCCGTCTGTCGCCGGCACCAAGGGACCCAACCCAACGTTCCGGACTTCCATTCTTTCTTTCGACACAACCACATACATTCGTTCTCTTTTATTTTAATCCTTTTTCTCCCCTTTGCTTCCGCCCTTGCCACCAAACACGCGAATACGGGCCCTTCACGACCACTTGCCGCGCTCCCACGACGACAACGACGACCGCAGAACCCCTATCTGGAGGCTTACGCAGCGCCGTCGCAAGAGGCCTCCCCGAGCCTCACCCCGTTTGCGGGGAACAACCACAACGATGGTCAGCTTCAAGACCATCGCTGCCGCCTTTGTCGGCCTAGCAGTCATCGCGCAAGGAACATTAGGTATGGTTTTAACCTTAAGTGGTGGAGGTGGTGAGGCAAGTAATGAGAGCGCGCCGCTAACATTCCCCAGCGCACTCAACACAGCGGAACCCGCTGAAGTATGTCACTATCCTCGAAGATGCTGTGCTGCATTCGCCTTCACAGCATTGCCATGCTCTTTCACATTTCGACCTCACTTTCGCACTTCACGACAAGCAACAGGAGGTCCGTTTAGCGCTGGAGCCTAATCACGACATTTTGGGGGACAACTTCGAGGTGAACTATCTGGGCGCAGACGGCAAGATTCGCAAGACGGAGTCGGTGGACCGCTCAGAACATCGCGTATTCAGGGGCAAGACTTTTATTCGACACGACGGAAACACCGAATGGACGCATGTTGGTTGGGCAAGAATCACCATCCATCGAGACGGCGCCGAGCCCATCTTCGAGGGCGCGTTCCGCATTGACGGCGACCCCCACCACGTGCTGACTGGATCCAACTACCGCCAACGGAAGCACCGCGAAGACCCCGATGCCCCGACCAGCCGGAACCCCGACGACTACATGGTGGTATGGAGGGACTCGGACATTCTTGATTACTACTACGACCGGGAGGATTTGAAGCGGGATGTCTTCGGCCGGACGTCATGCAACTCGGACAGCTTGGGCTTCAACGCCCAGTACGATCCTCTCGACGCACGGGGGCTCGAGCCCTTTCAATCCGTCGCCACGAACTCTCTTTTCGGACGCAACATCTTTGGACGACAGACCGATACTGGCAGCACCGGTAACAATGGTGCAGGCGTCAACTTGGTTTCTACCATTGGACAGACGAGCGGTTGCCCGACGACGCGCAAGATCGCGCTGCTGGGTGTCGCCACCGACTGCACTTACACGGCTGCTTTCAACTCGACCCAGTCTGTTAGATCCAACATCATTCAGGTGATCAACGCAGCGTCCGAGGTGTATGAGAGCACTTTCAATATCTCACTCGGAATCCAGAATCTGACTATCAGTGACGCCAACTGCCCGGGAACAGCCAGCTCCTCCGCGCCTTGGAACGTAGCATGCAGCAACAGCGTCACCATCACGGATCGACTGAGTCTTTTCTCCGCATGGCGCGGCAATTCCAAGGACACAAATGCTTTCTGGACCCTGTTGAGTACTTGTGGGACCGACTCTGCCGTCGGCCTCGCATGGTTGGGCCAGGCTTGTGTGAGCGGATCGCAATCTTCGGACAACGAGACTGTCGCTTCCGCGAACGTCGTCATTCAAACACCCAGTGAATGGCAGGTCATTGCTCACGAAGTCGGTCACACATTTGGTGCTGTGCACGACTGCACATCGGACACCTGCAGCAATGGCGATTCTAATTTGAACAGGTGCTGCCCGCTGAGCTCCAGCACTTGCAACGCGGCAGGACAGTACATTATGAACCCCTCTACAGCCACCGGTATCAAGGCATTTTCACCTTGCAGTATCGGCAATATCTGCTCTGGTCTTCTCCGCAATCAGGTGAAGTCGACGTGTCTTACAAACAACCGCGACGTCAAGACTATCCTTGAGAGCCAGTGCGGTAACGGTATTGTCGAGTCAGGCGAGGACTGCGATTGCGGCGGTGAAAATGGATGTGGCAGCAACAGCTGCTGTAACCCTACGACTTGCAAGTTTACCACCGGCTCGGTTTGCGACCCCTCCAACGAGGACTGCTGCAACGGTCAGTGCCAGTTTGCCAGCAACGGAACTGTTTGCCGAGCGAGCACCGGCTCCTGCGATCCGGAGGAGGTATGCAGCGGCACTTCGTCCTCCTGCCCTACGGACAAGCACAAGGACGACGGAGACTCGTGCGGCAATTCCAGCGACGGCTTGACTTGCGCTTCAGGTCAATGCACCTCCCGCGATCAACAGTGCAAGACGGCTTGGGGTGCCCGGACGAACACCACCTCGGTCACTTCTTGCAGCAACCAGGACTGCTTAATTGCTTGCAATGTCCCGAGTATCGGGTCCGGTTGTGTTACCATGAACCAGAACTTCCTTGACGGAACTACCTGTCAGGGCAACGGCAAGTGTTCCAACGGACAGTGTGTTGGTTCCAATGCTGGTGATGAGATTCTGGACTGGATCAAGAACAACAAGGCCATCTTCATCCCCATAGTATGTGTAGTTGGTCTGCTTGTTCTCGTAGCCCTTTGCAGTTGTGTGTGCGGCGCCTGTCGTAGAAGCAGAAGCCGTACGCGTGCCAGGAGGCTCAAGCCTGTTCAGCCACCGATGGGAGGCTGGAACGGCTACGGAGGGGCTTGGGGTCAATCCAACGTGCCTCCGCCGCCCCCGGTGGCTACTCGTCCCGGTGCTCCTCCGCAATACGCACCATACCCTAACCAGGACTGGCAAATGCATAGAACGCAGAGCGCCAGATACGCATAATCTCATATTGAAGAGATGACAGGATAGAGGGCCCAAAGATGTCCGGAAAAAGGAGGACTACAGTTATCCATCATTGCATTATTCGGAGTTGGTGGTGTTTACCTTTTCATTTCCCGTTTCAGCTTTCAAAAGTCCCATATTGTTTAGCATGGGCATGCACACGTCACAGCCTAGGCAGTGTAATTGTGTAATTCATGATGGCTACGGTCTTGGATACCTGCGGATACCTAGATAGGGACAGAACATAACTTAGGTCAGCTGGCTGATCCAGTGCGGACACCAGCGACGACATTGTCACATCAATGACTAGACTTTGACCACAATTCCTTGGTAAACTTGCATGATTCTCGCTTTGAATGATACCTAGTAACGCCGGTAACCAGATCGGTGACCCGTGACTTCGTAACTCATGACTTGCGTGAGACCGGGACGGGATGATTCATCCTTGTGCTCAAGCCAGTACCAACAGAGCACATCCCATGCCAACACCCCTACTGATTCTGAAAAAGCTCAAACTGCAGGAGAACTTTCGTACTGATCTAAACCCAACTCCAGCGCTTAACCCTTCGGGCTTGCTAATAGAACGTGACTGATGACATTTATGTTCTTGTTGTCGATGGAGACCCAATCGAGCTTTCTCCCGGTACATCTTGAGGACTTCGCCCGCGCAATCAGTGCCGACTAACCCTATCACCCCCAGCGCTCCTACGCCGGGGATCACGCCTTGAGGCCGACGCTTTGCGAGGATCATGCTGTTGCTGTGGCGGCGGCGTTTTGGTATCCAGACCGCACAGAATGCGCGTGAAGTGAAGTCTGGTGCCGGGGATGCTCTGCTCTTATGCGTCAGAGGCCGGTGTCTCATTCATTCAACAAGGCTATGTCCCAGGCAAGTGGAGCAACTCACATCTCCTCGACTGCAAGCGTACATGGCCAGCTTCTCGGGGTCGTCCAGGATCTCAATCGCAAACAGCTTCTGCCTGCGGTCCTCGAACGTGTCGCCGTCGTCGCCGCCGCCGCCGAGGCTGCCCACCTTGCCGGGGGCCCGGGGCGGCGACTCCATGCCCATGTCGCTGGGCGAGTACGGGTCCTTGCCGCGAGCCTGGCGGTCGCGCATCGCGGGGGTGAACTGGGGTTCCATCATCGGGCCGCCCGGGTGCGAGGACGAGGTCGAGGGTTGCTGCTGGGCGCCGGCGGGGTAGAAGCGTTGCTGGTGCTGCTGGTGGGGGCTGTAGTACTGGTTTGACATTTTGGACGGTTACTTCTTATGTTCTGTGTGTGGTATTGATTTCCGAGGAAGGTATGCCTGGTGAGGTGAGGGTTGAGAAGGAGCGGTGACGGCGGCTGCTGCTTGTTGGCCCTCCCGTCTCCCTCACACGAAGAGCAGGCAAGGAATGGACAAAGAGAGACGCAGTTACGAAGATATCTGCGAGAAAGGCAAGAGCCGAATACAAGTGAAAGCTCGAGTCTCGCACAATGAATGGTTTCGCACCCGGGAGTGTCAAACGGACGAGGTCGCGGAACAAAGGTATTATCGCTGCACGGATGTCGTTGCTGGTCGGCGGTTTGTCGTCCGCCCGCTTCTGAGCTTGTGACGCGCGCGCTGGGGGGCTAGCTGCTGCGGCGCGGCGCGGGAATGGAGGAGGGGTCGGATCCGATGCGGGGCCACTGCACAGCAGCCTTTTTTTTTGTCGCAAGCGCCTTTCCAGTGTGACCATACCCAGCCAGCATACCTTAATCCCCCGCGTTTGCGCAATCGGTGCCTGGCTGCTGGGTGGGTTTAGAGTTGATTGACTAACAGCCATCGTGTTTCATGGAGAACAAGTGCGCCGCCGTTGATTGAGTTTCTAGCCCAGCCTAGCCACACCGCCGCATGAGGTTGAATTCGGGCAGAGCTTCTGCCAGGCCTTACGTGCCAAGGACATATGATGCCTTGCTTTGATATGCTTTGCAAGGTAGTAGTATTTTGTCGCTAGAGTCTATCTTGACGTCGGACAGCGACGACGTCCCTTGCGCTCGTTGTATTTCTTCAGACTTCAATGCTCCGAATGACGTGTGACAAGCTCTTTCGCATCTGGCTCTTACTGTGGCGGACGGAATCAAGGCCATCTGTTTTGGACCTTCCAAAGCATGCCCGAATTGATGTAGCATTTCAAGTACATTGGCATCCCGTCAGCATCGCGACAACTGAGTCGAAACCTCCTTTGTTTTGTTTTTTGTCATATCGGTTTGGTTGGTATATACAGGCATATTGTACAACGCGCTGACCCTGCGAGTGGCAAGTGATGTATCCCCCTCTCCCGCTTCCAGACAGACCCTTTTGAACAAAAAGACAACTCGACACGACGAAAGCGACCGAATTATCTACCGCTGCTCCCACTCTAACCCAACGCTGACTCCCATCCTCTTTCTCTCCAGAAACCACCTGTAGATGAAGGTATGCGTATGCAAAATGGCAGCCGGCTCTCCCCAGCTCCCACCATTGAGGACCTGACCGCCTGGTATCCTCAGTAACAACACCGCCCGCGACGCCGGAAACCGTAGAATGTGTGGCCTAGGAAAGGAGCACGACCTGGATTGTCGTGTCTGAATGGCCTAGATGATGATGATAATGATGTAAACGCTCTGCCGCGCAGGGTGCTTTGCCTTGCGAAACCGCGAGTTCTCTCATAGACTCTCAGTCGAGCATGTCGGATATCATGATCGTAGATGTGTGAGCGAGCCCATGGTTGCTGAGATTTACCGGCTGAAGTTAATGACAGCCAACTGAGAAATGTCAGAGATGGTCGCAGCATTCAAACATCATGATGGATACTTACTCGGCTGTTGGCTCCGTACGCGAGTCTCTGTCCATCAGCATCCCAACACAGACAGTGTTCATCCTCTTCCTCCGGCTCCGAATTCGCCTTGGGACTCAACCAGCCCGGATGTGGCGCCCTGCTCCAGCTCGCACGTGGCATCGTGTGCTCTCCAACCTTCCAAATGAGAATGTGACCGGCGGTGGCTCCCGCAATGAAGGCTCCATCCGGAGTAAATGAGACAGCGACAATTGGTGACTCCATCGTGAAGTAGGACTTGGGTTTCTGATCTGGGAATTTGGCATTCCAAATGAGAATCGCGCAGTCGTCACCTCCAGTCGCAATAAGGCGCTCGTCTTCGGGCGGGCTTGAGTCGGCCGGCAGGGGTTGCCATTGCAGTGCGGTGATTGCACCAGAGTGAGCAGTTATGGACCGGCGCTGACCGTTTTCATCCCAGAGCTAAAAAGGTTGAGTGAGCCGATCTTCATTGCACAGGCGTTTCGGGATACTTACATCAAGGATACCCTTGTCGCTTGACGTGGCAGCCAGCTTTGAGCGCCAGTCATACGCCACCTGGGTGAAAGTGTCGTCGTCCCGACTCTCAAACTTCTTGTTCGGCAGGATGGCCGTGTCGGTGCACCTCAGTGACAGCATCACGTCGCCGCCGGTGAGGAGGAACTCTGTCTCGCTTGTCCATGCCGCGTCGAGGGGCCAGTTCAGCAGGTCGTGGTTCGGGAGGAAATACGACAAGGTGGCCGAGGTCAGTGAGTGATAGACGGTGACCAGCGCGCCTCCGTTGCCATTGCCGTTGCTGTTATCGGGGGCAATGGCCAGCAGAGCGGCGTCGCTTGGGCTCCAACGGAGCTTGATCACCGGAGGGTCCGAGACGTCGAACTTGTCGACATGCGAGCCGTCCTTGGCCCAGATGTGAACAGATGCCTTGTCGCCGTACTCGGCCGCGATGGCAATGGCTGTTCCCCCCCAGTTCCAGGCAAGCTGACCGACAGTTGCTGACTTTGGAGTCTCGTCGTCCATGAGACTGTGGTAAGGGCGATGGACGCCATGCACGTGACCGTCGGACTCGGAATCAGGCGCAGGCGTCATAGTGCTTGAACGTGAGATGGTCCAAATCCGGGCTAGCGCATCGGTTCCAGCAGCCGCCAAGATGGATGGGTCCTTGGGGTTCCACTCGCAGCGCAACAAGATGGGTGCATTTTCACCGTTGGCTGGCGAGGGCGAAGCGGCACCGGTCGCTGCGGTAGTCGTCGCGGCGGCGCCGTCCTGCGGGTTGCTGGCGGTGGAAGTGGTGTCATCGGGCATTAATCGCAAAAACGTCGTCTCTGTTGCCAATTCCTGGACTTTGTCGACCTGCGTGCCCTGCTCGGGGCCATCTGTTCTCGGAGTGGGCGTCGGAGCTTGTTCGCCTTCCAGGGGCGACGGGTAGGCGTGGTTGTTGTCCCCGTGGTTGTCTAGCTCCATGGGGTCCGTGGCTGCATCCGCCCCATTCGTGCTTTCGTACCCATTGCTGAGCCTGGGCCGCTTGCTGGGTGAGCCGCCATTCACCAGGTGCTGCTGTGGCCGGCTGTCAAGTTGGCGTTTTCGAGAGTTTTCGACCTCCATTTCCGTGTCGTCTACCTCCCCGTCCGCGTCCTCATCCTCCTCGATCTTGTGAGGCGGCTGGGGGATCAATGGCCCAAACAACCCCACCTGCAATGCTTCGGCCGCTGCCGCTGCATCTTGAGGCACCTGCTGCACGCGCAAAAAAAGTGTCAGTTTGCTGTTCGTACGTTACGTTACCCACACTCACATCTCCGTCTACCCTTTGGTCGCCTCGGGCTGCGCTGCCGCCATCACCCTCGGCGCCGGGGAGAGAAGACGAAGAGGCGAGTGCCAGCCACACGTCGGTCGGATGCGAATTGGGATACCTTGGTTGCGTGTTCCCTCTCAAGGGCTTGGTAGCAGAGGCCTTTGTTGATGACGGACACCAATGCATGACTCTTGACGTGGTTTGCGAAATCAAATTGGCGATGAGGTTGCTGAACGTGCCACTCCTTCTGGAACTTGGCTGCGGTCTCGCGGTAATCTGCAAACGTTAGAAAAACAAGCCACGGCCCACCCCCAGCTGTCGCTGACGGGTGTGTCTGGACGATCATCACATACTGCTCTCCAAGAGGTATCTGGGGCCGACACGTTAGCAATGCCATC